TAATTATAAATAATAAATTGATCATTTACAATTGTAATTAATGTAACAGAGCAGTTTAAAGAGGAAAATCCAATTCCGAATGTTTATGGTTCGAAAGTTCGTCATGAAAAAAATATGATAAATAATCAAAGAAATATATCAACGTTCAATAAAGAAAAAATCTTGAAAACTCAATCAGAGGTTTCTGTATGTTCTTCCAGAATCAAGAATGATCCTAATTCTCAAAATCCAGATCCAAATATTATCCATATGATTGCTAAAACATTGATCGGTGATTACTTGTGGAAATATACCAGAAATAATTTTTGGTCAAGAAAACGTCATAGAAGATTCTTTTGGATTCATCCTTATACTAATATCTTGTACTGGAGTAAAGAGAATCCTGCCACCTATGAGTTTGACAGTCCAAATTTAAAGAAAAAAGTGTCATATTTCAGTATGTACTATATAATTATATTTTCATCATTTAGCTTATTATTTAATAACTAATGTTATACTAACGTTGTCTAATGTTATTACTTGATTATTATACACGTAGCTTACATAGATTATGTTCATGAAATTATTAACGATGATTATTCATCCCCTGATTTATATCATACGAGTTTAGTCATTACAACTCCAGAAGGCGATATGGAAATCACAACTCAATCTAAAGAACAACATGAATGTTGGTTCCAGGTTAGTTCTCTTTTACCTGTAATAATAATATATTTATAATAACAATGTTTATTAATTATGTCGTGTATGATATAATTTTATATATAATGTTATATATTTTGATATGCTTTTATTCTGTATATATTTTTATTTTATATATACCTTTATTCTGTATTAGGCTTTAAGATATTTACATCGGAGATCTGGTTTAAATCAAATTCCGACTTCACTTTCTGTAGAACTTCTTAATAACGATTCGGATTATTTTTGTGATGACGACGGTGATAGTGATGATTTAAAAAATATGCGTCAATGTTGCAATGGCCGTCATGATATTAGTAAACTTGAGCGTGCTCCTAATCATAATAGATTCATTCTATAATCATTTTTCCTCTTTTCTTGTATGTAAATTCTTTTTTTAGCAATTCTTTTTGTGTCTTTTTGTGTTAAATAGTTTAATTCATTTTCTTTGTCATCGTTTGAGTCGATCAAAAACACTTAAGATCGTATCTACCTGTCCAAGCGGTTTCTTATTATATCAAAAACATTCATTTTTTCTCATCAATAAATGCGTATTAAATTTACTTAAATAAAGCAAGATCTTTCTTTGTTTACACCATTCAAATGCATTTATATTTTGCATTATTTAGAATATTATACAAATTAGGCGTTAAACATTTTTATTTAATAATAAAGTTGTTGGTTGTGTGTAGTGCTCTGAAACAGTCATTTGGGTAGTTGACCGGATCAGTCCATACGTGACCAGAACAAAACCCAAGTTTGTACTAAATTTTTATCCGCAAAACCCAAGTTTGTATTAAATTTTTATCTGAATTTTACCATATCTAATGTTAACGCTAACGCTAAAGAAACATAATTTATATCTAATTTTAATACTTTTGATTGCAATTAATTTATACTATTCTTTAGCATTTTATAATTTATATGAAGCTTTATTTCCACCAAGAATTTAGACACACGCATAAACGAATACTATCTGTTCCAAGACTATTTTATTATGCATTAGAAATGATATAATTCCTAACCACCTCGAATCCGAACAGTATGATGTTTTTAAAAATCGTGTTACATGATTGTTTAGGAGCACTAGTTACGTGACCCATATCTACTCATAAAATCCTTTTAAATTTTACAACGTAGTACTGATATGAAAAGTTACTTATATTACATTCGACATTTTAATGAAATTAATTCTTCTCACGCAATATATATAATTCTTTGTATTTTAAAATGTCAAATAGCAAAATAACTCGTCAAATATAATTACTCGAATCACAAAGGTTTTTAATAAAGTTCATTTATTGTCAGAACTCAAAAGATATACTTAGTTTGGTTATTATTACGAATATGGGATAAAAGTTAAAAGAATAAAAATAAGGCATTTGCTTATTATCAAAAATCTGCGAAAATGAATAATCCTCGTGGAATACCAATACTGTATATCAAGTTAGTTATTGTTACTATTTGGGAATTGGAACTAAAATAAATAACGATAAACGTAAAGCATTTGAACATTATCTGAAATCAGCTGAGGCAGGTAATTCTCTGAGAATTTTAACATCGCCATTTTCTATAAATACTGAATTGGTGTGTGGATGAGAGTGCTAACAAGTTCGATAAGTGGACTTTCAAGTCAATTATTTGTTATTATTCATTGTTTCAGCATCAGTCAATTTCAGCATTACCCCCCACATTCATTAATATATCTGTATATTTGAATTCTTAAAATTGGAAATTCGTAATTTAAGTTGGCGGCTGAAGTAACTTCAGTTGGCCGAGGTTACACCTACCTAAAATTGTTAATTAATGTGGCAGATTAAAATGAAATCAGATTAAAATGAAATAAGCGATAGTGTAAAATAGACAAGCCACCGAAAAATACAAATTTTTTTGGGTGCATTTTTTAGCATTTTTTTAGGGTTGGGATGTATAAATGGGTTTTAGAGGGTCAAATAGAAGCCCACATTTCATTTTAATCCGATTTCATTATGATCTGCGACAATTAATGCGTGCAGGATGATCTAATAGAGTCAAGTGAAACTTCTGTAGAGTGTTACGTACGAATAGGGTTGTGTTACGTACGAATAGGGTTGTGTTACATAAATTACAATTTTACATTTTCATGTAATTTTGTGTAATTTTGCGAGTTTCAAACCTTTTTACTAATAAAATGGTAACCGTTTTACAAAAACCTACGCAAAATTACGTAAAACTACGGTAATTTAACAACCCTACGTACGAATTAAGTTCCACCATTAGAACCAAAAAACTCAAAAACATTTACTTAATAAAGAAATGATTTCACTTTGTAGTGATGGCAGTATGTTTTGTAATAAAATTTATAATAAACTGCGTACCTTTTGGAAATGAATTACCAATTAATCTATATGAAATTTTATACAGTATTTATTTACCATTAACTTTAATAGCCACGATACACATATTATGAGGCTTAAGAAGTGGCTTTATTTTATCAATCAAAAAAAAAAAGGACATTTCATCCAAACAATGGTTAGAGATGGAACCGCCTAAATTTTTTCTAATTAATTATTATCTGTGTTAACTACTTAATCCAACCAGCATTGATATAAATTTGATCCAAGGCCATCGGTTAAACGTTTCCAATTCTTAACTATGGCACAGCCTTTAAGGCTTTGTCTTTACCAGAGGCTTTACCTTTCATGAAGGCTTTAACTTTTATAAGGAATTTGGAAGTTTTGTTTTTATCAAGGTCTCGATTTTACAGGTTTGTAAGTTTTGACTTTCATCATTTCACTAAAATGGGTTGTCTAACAACACTAGTTTAATTGTTTTGGAGTACGATGTATTGCAACTGAAGTGATTTTATTTTCTTTAAATTTACACGCTCTTAATCATTAATGTACAAAAAAATTGTCGATTGACAATATTAAAATTCTTTATTATCCACAAATTTTTGCAAACTTTTAAAAGCTAATATTACCCATGAATAATTTTCTTTCATTTTTTCAACTTACAGCAGCACCTTTTGTAGATGAATCTTATTCATCTGATCAAGATTTATACGATGCTCTTATTAACACGTTTTTTCCAATTGCTTTTGTCTTTTTGTTTAGTGTAAAAGAAAAACCTAACTCTATTAGAAATACGTTATTGCCACTACTAGATGACTTATTGTATAATTTTATCACTTGGGGAATTCCATTAATTGTCTCTTTTGCCTATGAAGACATATTAATTATAAAGATATTTTCAATCA